CCTGGTCCTTCTGCCCAACGTGGGGCTCTGGGCGCTGTACCGCGAGCGGCAGCCCGACGGCACCCCCGGGGGCTCGGGGGCGGCGGGGGCCCCGGCGGCCGGACAGGTGAGTCCCCCGGTGGTCGTGGGGCTGGGAACGCCCCCTCGTCGGATTCGCCGCCAGCCTGCGGGTCCCTCCTCCTTTTCCTGTCTCCCAGAGGCGGCTCCGGAGACTCTTCTGCTCTTCCCATTTTTCGGATGGGAAAATCGAGAAACGGTGAAAGAAAATTGAGTCCTGTCGGGACTTGGCTAGGAACCCACGCAGTCAGACACCGAGCCGGAATTAGAAGCCAGGACGTTGTTTCTTACCTTCCATTACCGTCATCCTTTCTGTCGCCGTCTGGCATGCCCTGACCCCTCCCAGCTTCTCTCTCTTTCGGAGGATCCTATCTGCATCCCGGTATCCCAGGATGACTCCTGTCTTCTGCAGATAGGAATGGAGACATGAAGGTGCTGGTCCGTTCAGGTGCAGCCCCCTCATTCCCCCCACCTGCTGATCCCGTGTTTCCTACTCAGGCCAGCTCCTATCCTGTTTTCTTATCTGCCCAGCCAGACACCTGGACTCCCCCTCCACTTCTCTCCCCGTTTGTGCTCCCTCCAGCCTTATTCCCCAGTCAGATCCTGTGTGTTCCTTGGAGGATATAAAGATCATGCTCCTTGTGAAGCTTCAGGCCCCTGGGGATGGGGAAGGGGGTGAGTTTCTGGTGCCTGAGGGACCTGCTGCCTCGGACTTTCCAGAAGCCCGGAGGTGGAGGCTCTGATGGAGGGATCCCCGAAATATCCCAGAGGTGGTTGATGCCCAGTGCCCTGAGGATGAAATGCCAGATGCCTTCCCTGTCGCCTCAGAACTTGCCCAGTCTGATTAGTTGTGATGTCTGTTGCAGCCAAAACTGGGATCTGAATTGTTTCTGCCTCCTCTGAACTTACATGTGTGTATGGTGGGGGTGTGCATTTAGACTAGCAACTCCCTGATGGCAGAAACTCTATCGCTCACTCCTTCGTCTCAGTGGGCGCCCATGAGCACATGCAGCAGCGCACACCGCTGTCATACAGTGGGGCATATCAGGTTTTCTTACGGAATTTCCCTGCTCCCATGGGAAGTGGATCATTTGTGCATCAGGATCACACTCGACTGATTGTTGGCTGGCCTCGAGGAAAGAGGCTGACTTATTTGAGGTTGATGGTTTTCCTTTTTCTTCCTAGTACCAGGCTGCTGTCTAGGCAGTCTGGCATCTTGAACACAGAGGGCTCTTTGCTACAGAGCTGACCAATTTGAGCTCAGTCTGTCGCTCTGGTAATTGTTGCAACCATCCCAGAGGGTCTGGTTGATCTTTCTGGAAGAGCTCACTGTTTAGAAACTAAGGGCCTCATCTCCTTTCCTAAACCCCTGGCAGGGGTCTGGCAGGCTACTTAGACCTCTGTCCCTTAAATTCTGTATCTGTATGGGGTTTTCCCTCATGAAATCTCTTACCGCTGTCAGGAAGGAGTCCAGGGCCAGGAGTCCAGGGTTCTAGCCTCAGCTCTTCCTCTAACTTGCTGTGTGTGTCCTGAACACATCTCATCTCCTTCTCTGAGTCTTACTTTCTCCATCTATAAAATGTGATTATTGGTCCAGCTCCAACATTCTGTGATACTCTCCATGAATTAGTGAGGAACACAGTGGTCATTTCTTTTTTATTCCTTGAGTCTGGAGTCCCTTGTACCATCCCTAGCTGTGGAGGCTCCATACTGAACACAGCCCCAGGTCAAGGGGGAGTGTCCTCCCCAAGTGCAAACTCTCCTTTGGAATAGCTGTGGCCAGTTCTAAAATAGCTCTTGACATTCTGCCTCTGCCTGGAGAAAGCCCTTATATTTCATTTGCTATAGATGCCAGAGACATTCTGATTTTCATTTTCTATAGACCCAGATGTGTAGAGAGAAGGTCAAGGTTAACTGCCAGTTTGGCCTAAGCTTTCAAAGTAAATTACTCCCTTGTGCAAGAGGGTATTGATGGAAGAAGGCAGCCTTTGGGGCAGAGAGAGAGGGGAGCAACAGCTGGGTGCTGCTGGGAGTCCCTAGCTGAAATGGACAGATGGGCTCATCTGGGAAGGTCTAGTTCTTGTTCATTTCTTCTTCTCTGGAATAGCACAGAGAGGAGGAGGGAGAAGTGGTGAAGCGGTTTGGTGCAGGGGGTGGGGGGCGTGCCAACTGATTATCCTTGCTTTAAAGAAAATCTCTTTGCTTCCTGGGAGCAGCAGAATGGAGCTGTTTCCCCGATGATAAGCTCCTCTAGGTGCGACAGGATTCAGCATTCATCTGCTGCCTTTCAGGAACACCCTGCCAAATCTCCACACAGCCCCTTTTTGTTTCGCTCTCTCGCAGATGCAGAGCACTGGGCTTGGTCCCCAGTCCCTCGCTTGAATGTCAGCTGGCCCTGGGGAGAGAGGCTGCCTTCCCGGAGTGGTGGTGTTCCACCCCTATCCCGGAGCACTGGGGGACGTGCACGGAACACGCCAGGCCGCTATGGAAAAGCTGGCGTCTCGCGCACACAGAGCTTTTTCGACAGGGCTGACCAGTTCCTAGCTCAGCCTGTCACTCTTGTAATTGTCGAGAGTCATCCCAGAGCATCCCGTGGATCTTTCTGGTAGAAATAACTGCAGAGGCTCTGGAGGGAAGTCTGACAGGACTTTATCCAAATGAAAAATATGTTCCTTCTGGGTTTGAGAGAAGTTTCTTTGAGGGTCACATACCCGCTGTTTGAGCCATCCTCTAACTCCTTGATTTCTCCACTGGATTGAAGAATACAGAGTTTCAAATTAAGAGCATTTATCACCGGCTGGAATGAAAGTCTCCATAACTGTCATGCCAGCTTATCCCGGGTGTACCTCTGGAACTGGGCAGGGCAGCTGATTTATAGGGGGACACATCACGCTTCTTGGATTTCAGCACTCATCTGGTCAGAAGTTGGCTTCTTGAAAATCTGCAAAACCAAGCAAGAAAAGCCAGTCTGGAAGCCATCTTCCTTTTAACCTGAGCATCCCTTTCATTTCAAGCCCCAATCTGCTTAACATCTTGGTTCAATTCTATAGCCTATTTCATTGTCCAGGCGTAGCGATGGGTTATTAGGAACTCATTTTAGGAAAATTCCATGCAGCCCCTCCTTGTGAGAAATGACTTCATTGGATGATGGCATATGTGGAAGAGAAATTGATGGGATAATGGAATACCATGACTTTAATTTTCAAACACCAGGAATTTTTCTCATTATTATAGAGCTGAACTTTAGACTTAGAACATCCAGAAAGCCATACTTTTTTTTCCCCTTTGTTCAGTATTCTTGGTGGCAGAGAAAGTTAAGTATCATAGAAATGTAGCCTTGGAATGATTTCTTTAAGTTTCCACAGGGGAGCTGATATTTCTTTAAGTTTCCACAGGGGAGCTGATATCCTTCAATTGCTAATCAGTTCTCTGTCTACATGCCCGGGTGAAATCTGATGCCTTACAGAAGAGTTGTTGATTTACCAGAGCAAATCTGGCTCTCTATATTTTTATTTTCATTTTAGGCTGCACTCTCCCAGGGATCCCAGCTAAGGAAGGCCTGGGAGCAAAGACCTGACTTCTAGTCCTTTCTCCTGCCCTAAACTCATTATGTGAGCTCAGGAAAGTAGTTTAGCCTCTCTAAGCCTTGAATTCCTCATCTGTGAAGTGAGGTTTAGATTCAGAAGGCATATATATTATAATTGTGCTTCCCCTTCCATGACCAGGGCAGACATTGCTAATCAATCTTTCTCCCTAATGCCAGACCTGGCCTCAGACTGTTTCTCAACACTGCTACTCAAGTGGAGTTAATGACGTATTGAAACTCATTTGCAATGTAGAGAATAGATATGTTGTTAGGTCTTTCTCAAGGCTAGCATCCTGGGGTTCTGTGAGTTTACTTGGAAGCAAGTGTTGAAAGGGTTTGGGTAGTGGGAGTGTGTTTAAACAGGCCTCTGTATCTAACTTGTAATGAGGCCCCAATTTAAGGATATGTTCATATTCAAATGCCTTTTCTCAGGCTGTAGTCTGAAGATGTTCGGCCTTTAATCTGTTGGCTCCAGTGACATGATAACAGATAATGGAATCGGAATGAAAAAGCAAAGGCCTGTTCAAAAGATAACCATCTAGCCTGCTAATTGTACCTTGTCCACAGCCAGCTCTTGCATAGATGGCACCAGGATCTCCTCACTGTATAAAAAGCACCTGGAAACTGACCTGGCAGCTAGAAGTATGTCCCATGGCAGCTAAACGCCTGGGTGGAGTTTGGAGTGGGTTCTGTGTTTGCACATCTTTTACCCTCTGCAACCCATGTATGTGGCAGAGCCTCAAATGAGAGTCTTATGAACCTCTGTCTGCATGCCTGGTGGAATGGGAAGAAGAGGTAGCCTATGCTTGTCTGAGTTCCTGTGGCCATGAAGTGCGTTGTGGCCTCCCCTCCCAGAAACATCTCAAGGTAGGAACCATATCCACTTCAGCACGTAAGCACAAGATTTGACTCTTGGAAGACAGGACATGCTTACTGAATGATTGGAATGTGTCAGAGCAGTCAAGAGGCATCATACATCCTCTGGTCTACCCACCCTCATTTTGTAGATATGGCAACTGAGGCCCAGAAGAGGAGAAATCAGTTAAACAAGTTCTCACAGGGAGGAATGCAGACCACAATCCCATTCTTCTCCAAGCTCTTGCTCCAGTTTGCTGTGAAGATGTCTTCCTTCCACATGTTAACATTTGATCCTTTTCTATCGTGATTTCCCTCATGAACCAAGATAATCATCCCAAGTTTTGGAGGCTGGGGCTTAATGAGACCAGTTATTGTTGGAACCTACTGGCTTTCTTGTAGGTACGTTTTTGTAAATTTTCTTCCCAATGACTTATAGTTTTAAGACAACACAAATGGGTTAAACTCGAAGGAAGCAAAGAGATACAGCAGGGAATAGAGAATTAAAGGCTGCGTAGCACGTGGCACCTTGTTGCTGTCCGTGACAGATAGAACCGATCTGAATCCAAGAGCCACTGCAGATTCTCTTATCAGTAACAGAATGAATT